CCACACATTCTCTTCTCTTTTTCAGCGTCGTACATCTCAACTCTAATTCTACTACTGATTGGACGTCCCTTTTTATTTCTTCTCATGGAATCGTCGTGACACAGAGTAAAACCTTCATATTTTGGCCAGTTCTCCTTGTACGGTAGTCCCAGGAAGCTTTCCTTGTAGACCTTGAATACGTTAAGAACTGTGAAGACCTCTGGAATGTGAATTGTGTAGTCCTATCGTATGCTAGAATATGCCGCTATCACATGGGAGCAAGGCAAGTGAAATGCTTGAAATTTTTCACAGTCACACAAATGATTCCTCAAGTCAACGCTAAAAGTACCCGTTGGACGACCATTGTTGTAATTAATCTTTTCCTGCACCATGAAACAAAATCTTTTGCGATCAAATTGCATGACGTTGTGTGTGTTAGCCTTGGCTACCTCATTAGTCATTCCCTTGTTACAACCATCTGTGAAAACTTTGCCTGAAGATAGCATTTTGGTCCATTTGTGTCCTCGTTTACTAAAGAGTGAACCCGTTTGATAGTATGTATACTGGACCAATGCAGTGATTGGAAGGTTTCTTGTTGCCTTTAGAACAAAGTTTATTGCCTCTGCCAAGTTAGATGTCACATGTCCCCAATGTTGCCCTCTGTCAAATGCTCTAGCCCACTTCTCCATAGGAATGTTGTCTATCCAATTTAAAGCCTCAATGTTTGTTCTTTTGATTTCTCTGTGATAGTAATTAAATGTAGCCTTCGTCAATGCGTAACCTGTAACAGAAATTGTGTGAAAAAAATGATAAAAGTGTGCTACAAAACTTGAGATAAGTGAAATTTATTTTATTACCCATGTTAACAAGTTTTTTGCGTAGATCCTTGTCCTTAATCTCGTGCATGAAGTTCTGAGCAATGTGTCTTATGCAGTAGACATGTGAAAATGATGGATGTTGCTATCCATTTTCGGGATTGTTGTATGCACTATTTATCAATTCATGTCTATCAGATATTAGACACAAATTAGGCTGTGATGTCACATGTAATCTCAGGTTCCTCGGAAAAAAGCTCAAAGCTTCCTTTGTTTCACCTTCGACCAATGCGAATACTATTGGGAAACTATTTGCATTTCCATCCTTTGCCACCGCCATTAATAGAGTTCCTATGTACTTGCCATACAACCAAGTTCCGTCTACTTGCACAACGGGCTTACAGTAGGCGAAGCCACGTATACACAGACGAAATGCCCAAAACAGACAATGGAATATTCGTTTTCTAGAGATTTGGGAACCATCACTTGATATCGCAGGTAGGGTTTGCAAATCTATAATGGTTCTTGAAGGAAGGTTTTCATTACTAGTATCCACTGCGGTAGATCATTGTAAGATGTTTCCCAATTGCCATAAAGCGACTCTACCGCCTTGCACTTGGGGATCCATGCTTTCCTGTAAGATATAATGTACTCGTATTTTTCAAGAATATGGGCAATGATCACCTTTACCTTAAGTGAGACATCGTTGTTGACAAGTTCTTTGATGCTATGGCTAACCATTTATGAACTGAGCTTCCTATGGTCTTGTGCCATAGACGTCGTAGTGCATGTGCGAGACCCAGACAGCTTACCAATCACCCATTTCGAGTTTCTTTTTCTCAAGGAAGCTCTGCACTTGAAACTGCAGTTTTATTTCTTACACTTAATGACACACCGTTCATTGTTACACTGATACACCCAATAGTCCAAACTGTGTGTTATGTGCCAATGCTGCAGAGCGAGGACACAAGCTTCCTTGTTTTCGAACTCCATCCCACTTTCTATTTCGTCACCTATATGGTTTTGAGTAGCACTTCCAAACACGGAGGTTGTATCGTCGTGTTCGAAACATATATTTTGCATGTGCGCAGGCGGGTTGTACAAACTTATGGGTTGTGCATAGATCAGCTGCATAAACACAACAACTAAATAGAAACATATTTCATAACAACAACTTCAATGTTTAAAACATAAGAAACTTAGATAGAAGATAACTCGTGTGGTTAACGAAATCCAAAAAACCAGAAGCATTAATATTACACAGCAATGGACAACTAATAAATAAAACATCATACCCAATAAAACACATTTACCAAATCGGATTTGTTGATACAAACATCACTAAATCAATATCATTATTCGTTTTCGTTACATGACAAAGACATAAACTATTAAAGCATGCAGTTTTGCTATGGCCTATTAATGTTGAAAAGAAAAACATATCAACTACATCATATATGGATGGTTTGGGTCAGAGATGACAAACTAAGCGTATAAACCTTTGTCAGTTGTGTGTTTGAGCGATTGATGAAGAAAATCGGAGTGGCCGTGTGCAGAGGTAAAACAGTTGAAGAAGAGTACGCTGAATGAAATAAAAAGCGAGTTAGGGAGAAAGGATGAAGAGAAATGAAGGAGACAAATATAAAGGAAAAATGACTTTTGTACTGAAAAAAGAGGAAACGTGTGTATTGATTTTGACGGGAAGGGAAATTTTTTTTGTTTGATGCACCAAATACATGGTTGACGTTGGGCAAGGGAGTAGAGGTTTGACTTAGAATTATTTTTGATATTTATTAATTACTAATTTGTACAAATGATAGTGTAATTTTAAATCAATAAAAAAATAATTTTGTAAATTAATGTATTAAAAATTTGAAAGACTGATAATAAATAAGTGTGTGTCAAGTCTAACTGCGACAAAGTCTAAAAAATACATTAGTCTCATTTAAAAAAACTTTAGTTTATTTATTATAATTAATGAACATTTTATTCATTTTTAGAGAATACTAATACTAATGTTTAAACATAAAATAAAGTAGTAAACAATAAATTAGTAGTATAAAAAATAATGAGATTATTCATAATTTTATAATATAATATAAATACACACAATACGAAAAATAATTTTATTTGTCTAAAAAAGTATATTAGTTTTAGTAAAAAAGTATATTAATTTTAGTTAAAATAAAAAGAGTTGCATGTTTAATTTAGATAACATGAAAAAATATATTAGTTTTAATAAAAAATAATCATTAAATTATAAAATAATAAATAATAAACTATAATACTTTAAAATGGAATGAATAATTATTTATAAAAATATTTTATAATATAATATTAATATATATTATTCAAGTAATTGTTTTACATGTATTAAGTTTGGACTGAAAAATAGATTAATTTTAGTTAAAAAATAATTATTTTATTATAAAATAATAAACATTAAATCATAATATTCTAGAATAGAATGAGTAATTATTTATAATAGTCTTTTATGAAGTAATATAATATTTGTATATATCATATCAACAATAGTTTTATATCTATTTAATTTAGACAACTGCACAAAATTTTATTAAAAATAACAATATTGAAAAAAAAACTCCAACTTTATTAAAATAAGTGTTTGTCTAATGCGTAAAAATACATTAATTTACTGTTTTAAGATTTATGATTGATTGATACAATATATTTTAAATTTTATTAATGTAGTCAATCATTCACAAATCAGTTTTTTTTATAAATTTTAAAATAAAATCAAATAATTTATTGTTTTAGATTTCTGATTGATAATATAAATTAATGATTTATATCTTAATATACAATTATTTATTTTCATTAAATTAAATTTTACAATTAAATATGGTGATCTTGTCTTACCATTTAAAAAGAAATTCTCTTTTTGCCAAATGTCTTATCCAGGAACTAATATTTGTCAGGAATATACAATGAAAAGTCAATTTTTTATTTAATTTTGTTTATTAATGTTGTAATCCTAATCACCTAAAAGTTGTTACACAAATTGACCCCACAAATTTGTAGGCATTGATACAAAACCCTTTTTCGAACGAAATCAAAACCGTCATCGCGTAATCTGTGCGTGTCTTCTTCCACTATCATCAACCGTTGATTAAATCTTGTCCGTCCATCACAAACAAATCAAATGATATAAAACTAACTGTGTCCAGCGAACCGTAGAGGGACCAACCTAAGCTAAAACTTGACGCAAGTAAACGAACCGGTGCAGTGCGTGACATCACTCGCTCACTCACTTTCAATAATCGCTTTAAATACAGTGCAAATAGTGGAGTGTGAAGCATTACGATTATTGCGCACGAGAGTAATCACTACCAACACTATCTATTTTCTCTCTGAAATTCGAATTTTCAACGAGGTTAGGGTTTTCTCAATGCTTCATCGTTCTTCTCTTTTCCATAGTTTTCTTCCGATTTTTCTTTGCTTAAGTTGTGTCTGAAGCTTCTCTGTTACTATGCGATCTTACTCTTTTGTTCGTCTTCATGTATTTTTTTTTTCCTTTTTTGGTATATTTTGCTTGTATGATGATTCTTCACTGTTTTCGGTTTTGTAGTTGTTGATTTGTTGGGGCTTTATGTAATGTGATGCCGTTGATGCAGTTTTTCTCGTAGTTTTAGTATTTTTTCATGAGCTTTGCATGTGCTGTTATTTTGTTTGATCGCTCTGTTTTTGCTGTTGAACATTAACTCGGTTTGGTTTTTGTTTTGCTTAAACCGAGTGTTATTGAACAATGTGAAGCTCTTTTACTGTTGACTTGGCTTGATTTTACAGTTTGCTCTTGGTTTCACTAGCTCTGATTTATGTAGAAGTTTTTATCAATATTTTGTCGTGCGTTCGTATTTAAACTGATTTCTGTGGTTTTTCGCTATAGTTCTTTGATTTTGTAAACTTTTTTTTTAGGTATTTTACTTGACTTGCATGCATGTGTATTTTGCATACGAATGTTAGGTTTTCAGATTAGGCTTATAGATGACTAGGTGTATTTTGCATATGTATGTTTTAGTAAAATTCTTTGATGTTAGGGTTTTGAGATTTCGTTTTATCCACGGCTAGTTTTTAGGTTTTTGGATGACTTGCATGTTTTGGTATATAGTACTTTTGGTTATTTAAATAGTGGTTTAATGATTAAATATGCATAGCAGGGTAATAGTTCTGTGATCTGTTAAGGCCATGGGTTCACAAGAAAATGAAGAATGTTTGCCCCCTCCACCTCCCATTGTTCCATCTGATGTTGAGCCAGTCAAGATAGAGCAAGAGCTTTTTAAGAAGAAGGGTCCTACTAGGGTTCCAATGGCTAGGCGTGGACTCGGTTCCAAGGGAAATAAGCTGCCTTTGCTGACCAATCACTTTAAAGTGAATGTTGCCAACACTGATGGATACTTCTTCCAGTACAGTGTATGTAGAATTTCATGATTGAGTTTATTTGTTGCTATGATTTTCTCCTTTACTCTTATGTTATGAGTTAACTCTTGTATATGTGCAGGTTGCTCTTTTTTATGAAGATGGACGTCCTGTTGAGGGGAAGGGTTCTGGTAGAAAGATACTGGACCGAGTTCAAGAAACTTACAATGCTGAGCTGAACGGGAAAGACCTTGCATATGATGGTGAAAAAACATTGTTCACCATTGGCTCTCTAGCTCAGAACAAGCTTGAGTTTACTGTTGTTCTTGATGATGTAACATCAAGCAGGTTGAAATATGTGAATATTGGTTTTTGAATTTTTGTGTTTATCTTGGTTATTAATATTGCTGATATTTAATTTTTTCATGTATAGGAATAATGGTAATCGTAGCCCTGAAGCGAATGGAAGTCCTAATGATGCTGATAGGAAGAGGGTCCGAAAAACCTTCCGTTCCAAGACATATAAAGTTGAAATCAGTTTTGCCTCCAAAATTCCTCTGCAGGCTATTGCCAATGCCTTAAGGGGGAATGAGACAGAGAATTATCAAGAAGCCATTAGGGTGCTTGATATTATACTGAGGCAACATGCTGCTAAACAGTGCGTGGTTTTCGAAACTTAATATATTTTATCTATATATTATTTAATTACATCATTAATAATGTTATCCTAATATTCTGTTGCAGAGGCTGCCTTCTTGTTCGCCAAAATTTCTTCCACAATGATGTTAACAATTTCACAGATGTGGGAGGTGGTGTACTTGGGGTTAGAGGGCTGCATTCCAGCTTTAGAACAACTCAAAGTGGACTTTCTCTGAACATAGGTTTGTTATTGAGGTTGTCTATGTTCTCATCCGCATAAAACTATTTTGTTGTGATTCTTTGTTTCATTCTATTTTTTTAGATGTGTCCACAACTATGATTGTCCGTCCTGGGCCTGTTGTTGACTTTTTGATTGCAAATCAAAATGCGAGGGATCCTTTCACTCTTGACTGGGCTAAGGTAACCAAGTGATCTGAAGACTTCTTTGTTTGTTTAATTGTTCTTCAACCAAGTGTATGTTTAGTTGTTCTTCAACTATACCAAGACCTAATCCTTTGTACATTTTTCTGTGTAGGCCAAACGGACTCTGAAAAATTTGAGGATCAAAACCAGCCCTACAAATCAAGAGTACAAGATTACTGGGCTGAGTGAGTTGCCTTGCAGGGAACAAATGTAAATTTTCTATCTCACAGTATGTTAATTCCTTTTGATGTGATGGTATCCATTTATTAGCTTTCTTAATGTTTGGGTATGTTACTTGAAGTTCCTTGGTACATGCTAGCTGTTTTGTTAATAATGGAGATATGTGTTTTGTAGGTTCACTCTGAAGAAGAGAGGGGGCGGAGAAGATGAGTCAGAGGAGATCACTGTTTATGATTATTTTGTAAACCGTCGGAATATTACTCTGCAGTACTCTGCTGACCTTCCGTGTATTAATGTTGGGAAGCCCAAACGACCTACTTATGTCCCAATTGAGGTAGATTTGGTGCTTTATATTTTATTTTTGTACTAGCCTATCTGTTGAAGTACTTGGCTCTGCTAATTCTGACTAACTAATCCTGGGATAATTCTGACTAAACATATTCTGATCAGTCACTTTAAAGATCTTTGAATTACAATAACGAAAATTTATTTTCTAACAAACCTAATTATACAAGTAACCAAGTCACGATAATGAAAATATATTCTGATTGAACGTGCATTGGTTTCACAAACTTATATTTCTAGTGGTATAGAATCAATAAATTTGAAATTTTGTTTCACTTTTCCCCCCCTGAAAGTCCATGATTTATGATTTTTCCTCACTATTTGTTGACTCTACTGTATGTCTTTTACATAGCTTTGTGAACTGGTTTCCCTACAACGGTACACAAAAGCCCTGTCCACTCTCCAACGGTCTTCTCTTGTTGAGAAGTCAAGGCAGAAGCCTCAAGAACGGATGAAGGTTTTGTCTGATGTAAGTCTCATTTCTATATTTTGGGCAATTTGTTGTCATGTAAAATGTCACTTGATTGTGTTATTTGCTGATTTACAGGCGTTGAGAACTAGTAACTACGGGTCTGAACCCATGCTAAAGAACTGTGGCATTTCAATAACTTCTGGCTTCACTCAAGTGGATGGGAGAGTTTTGCAGGCACCAAGGGTATCTATATTATATCTTTGTTATCCAAAAAATGCATACTTGCTTTTGTTCCTTGTTGAAGATCCCAATTAAAGCTATTTTTATGAAGTTAACTTATTGAATTTACAGGGCTACCCATGGATTCTCTATGATTTAAATGATCATATTCTAATTCTCTTTAGAAGTAATTGTTCTGTCTGTTTAGTATATTGGTTCGCCAACATTGCATCCTTTAATGAAGGTTGCCTATTTTTAGAAGAAACTGTAAATAAATAACTGTTAGCATTTTTTAGTGTTATATTGGGGGATTTATGTTTGTCCTTACAAAACACTCAATTGTTATGATTCACATGAACTTCAGCAATATTACTATGTTGAGTAAGTTTTACCCGGATTGCTTTAATGTCTTGATGAAATTCTATTGCCATCTATTGTTTTCTCTGTAGTGAACATCTTCAAACTAAATGCATCTTCTCTTATTTTAGATATATTGTTTTACTTATTTTAAAATAAGCCATTGTTTTACATGTTTTTATAATGAAAGTCCATTTCGTTGAGAGATGACTACCGATGAACATGACCGTGCTTTCATCTTTTAATCTATACAGTTGTTTAAAATCTGTTCTATATTTTTCAGCTGAAGTTTGGAAATGGGGAAGATTTCAATCCCAGAAATGGAAGATGGAATTTCAATAACAAGGTATTCAAGTAAAATCTCTGCTTTATTTAATATTATTTTGATATTTTCCTAAACATTTCCCCCTTATGATTCAATAATGTTCTTCAGAAAATTGTGCAACCAGCCAGAGTACAGAAGTGGGCTGTGGTGAACTTTTCTGCTCGTTGTGATGTGCAAGGACTTGTGAGGGATCTGATTAAATGTGGAAGAATGAAAGGAATTGTAAGTTCTTTTGCAACTTATTTACTGATATTGTTAAAATGAGTAACTCATTCTTTCTTGTTTGTTGCTATTGGCAGCAAGTTGAAAATCCTTTCGATGTGTGTGAAGAGCAACACACCTTTAGGCGTGCACCACCTGTTGTACGTGTTGAGAAAATGTTTGAGCTCGTTCAGTCTAAACTTCCCGAGCCTCCTCAATTTCTCCTCTGTCTGCTTCCTGAAAGGAAGAACTCTGAACTTTATGGTTGGTTCTTTGAAATATTTCTACGTTTCCTTTACTTATTATTATTAATTTAAAGCAATTGTTTAATGTCCTTGTCAATTTAAAGCAGTTGTTAAATGTTAATGAAAAATAATTCTGACATGTGAAGGTCCATGGAAGAAGAAGAATCTTGCTGAGTTTGGAATTGTTACTCAGTGCATAGCACCCTCTAGGGTAAACGACCAGTACCTCACCAATGTTTTACTGAAGATCAACGCAAAGGTATATTTATTTTTGCAATGATTTCTGTTGAAACTTGTCATTAGCCATGTCCTTTCCTCAACCATTGAATGTTCTTATTCTTTTGTAGCTTGGTGGGATGAACTCTCTGTTGGGGGTTGAACATTCTCCATCCATCCCAATTGTGTCTAAAGCTCCTACTCTAATTTTGGGCATGGATGTTTCTCATGGTTCCCCTGGTCAATCTGACATTCCATCTATTGCTGCGGTAATAAAAGTCTTTTTTTTTTAATGTGTCCACTCTTAAATATTTTACACTCCTTCATATTATTGTTCTTAATTTCAGTCAATTTTTTAAATAGTTTTTCCTTCAATTCCTAACTATGTAGGTCGTGAGCTCGAGGCAATGGCCTCTAATATCTAAATATAGAGCATGTGTCCGAACCCAGGGTTCTAAGGTTGAAATGATTGACAATTTGTTCAAGCCAGTACCTGATAAGAAGGAGGATGAAGGAATTATAAGGTTTAATTATATTTTATTCTAAGTTTTCCTCTGGTGAATTCTGAACCATCGAAAGATCATTCCAACTACTCTAGATGATGTCTGTGTTTATTGAGAATTGGTTTTATCATGTGCAGGGAACTCCTGATCGATTTCTATACAAGTTCTGGGAACAGAAAACCTGACAATATTATCATTTTCAGGTTAGCTTTCTTTCCCAAAAGCTTGTACCATTAATTTTCTTCAACTTTAGTTACATTTTATTGTTGTTTTGCGACCCTTTTGTTGTATTTTATTGAACTGAAATTCTTTTTGTTGATTAATGTAGGGATGGTGTCAGTGAGTCTCAGTTCAACCAAGTCCTGAATATTGAACTTGGCCAAATCATTGAGGTTTTTAAATTGATCAAGTACATGCTTTAAATATATGAGTTGTTTTTTATTTGAATAATCCTTATTTTTTAAATTGTTTTCAGGCCTGTAAATTTCTTGATGATACCTGGAACCCCAAGTTTACTCTTATAGTGGCTCAGAAGAATCATCACACAAAATTCTTCCAACCTGGAGCTCCAGACAATGTGCCAGCTGGTAAGCTGCGTGTTCTGAAATTTGTCACGGTTCCATTATTTTATATAAAACAGCATTGGTTTCATGTAATAGTTGACAATCTCTTTTTTCTTTTTCAGGGACTGTTGTGGACAACAGAATTTGTCATCCTAGGAATTATGATTTCTATATGTGTGCTCATGCAGGAATGATAGTGAGTATCAAGGCTTCTTTTTGACTGTTTCTATATGATGCTCTTTACACTGGTTTATGTGCAGTTTGAAGTTGCATGATTGTCACTTCTTTTTGACTGTTTCCATATTATGTTCTTTCACTTGGACTGTTTTTATATGATGCTCTTTACACTGGTTTAAGTGGAGTTTGAAGTTGCATGATTGTCACTTTTTGACTGTTTCCTGAGTTATGTGGTTAGATCATTTTCGTCTCTTGTTCACCATTCCCGTAGCGTTTCTCTCTTTGTTATGCGCATGCTCTTTATTCTCATTCTAGGCCTGGTTGACATTATTATTATTTTTTTTATGACTTTGAATTTAACCTTTGTTAACTGTTGTATTGTGTCATGGTTGTTTGTGTGAATTGAATGACCTGGGTTTATAATTTTGTAATCCTTTATGCTTGCTTTCAAAATCTGTTCTCAGGGAACCAGCAGGCCAACACATTATCATGTTCTGTTGGATGAGATTGGCTTTTCTCCGGATGATCTACAAGAGCTTGTGCACTCTCTCTCCTATGTGTAAGCAATTAAATAATCTGTTTTTAGGTATCTGACAATTCTGATAAGCAATGGAATTTATCTAATGATATTATTTGTTTTATGTCTACAGTTATCAGAGGAGCACCACTGCCATATCTGTTGGTAAGTTGTATTTTAGTTTTATTTATTTGTTCATCATGCATATTTTATATTTGAATAATAGGGTTCTGATTAGTAAAATGTTGTATGCAGTTGCTCCAATCTGCTATGCTCACCTGGCTGCTTCACAAGTGGGACAGTTCATGAAGTTTGAGGATAGATCTGAAACAGCATCCGCTCCCGGTGGAAAAAACGCTCCTGCGGTACCACAGCTTCCAAAGTTACGACAGAATGTCTGCAATTCTATGTTTTTTGTTTGATTTTATCCAAGTTGTGATCCAAACTAGTTCTCTTCCACAAGACTTGTTTTACTCTTAAACTTTGTTGGTGCCTTTTGGAAACTTCTGCTGTCTTTGACTTTTTACCTAACACATGCCTTATCACCTATTTTGAATGAATGTGAATATTTAGTTGCTGAACAAAAATCTTATCAGCTAGTTCTATGAATGTGAATATATTATCTTTTGGTATTCGGTTTTCTTCTGAGCCATTCTTACGTTTTGTTTTATTTTGATTACTTAACTAAAACATAAAGGAGTTCTTTAGGTTCGAATTCAATTTATATAGCTTTAAGAACTTGCTTTAAGAACTAAAACATCAAGGAGCTCCGTAATTCTATGTTTCGAATTCAATTTATATATGCTTTAAGAACTAATATATCAAGGAATCCCGGTATTTGTAGGCCAACGCTAGAATATTATTATTAAGTTTCCTAATCTTGGTAGGTATTTTTTAAATATGACATAAAAACACTTTTTGGAGCGGAGGTAAAATTTTCATTAAATATGTATGGTTTAAATCTTAGGATGAGATGGGAGGGGAGCAAAATTTTTTCAAAATATACTTTTGGATTAGGATGAGATGGGAGGTGAGCAAAATCTTTTTAAAATATACTTTTTGATTTCCTCCGAATTGGGGGGTCAAAATATACTTTTGGATTAGGATGAGATGGGAGGGGAGCAAAATCTTTTCAAAATATTAATTTTCTCCGAATTGGGGGGATTTGGAGGGAGGGGAGGAAATATGATTTTTTTAATTTTTATTTTTATTTTTTTATTTTTATAAAAAAAATAATAAAAATAGTTTTTTTATTATTTAATTAATGTTTTCGTATTTTATTTAAATTATTTTTTAAAAAATATTTTTTTTCTCACTTTTTTCATATTATTCAAAAAACATTTAAAAATTATAAAATTAAAAATATTAGAAAATATTTTATTCTATTTATAATATTTTTAATGTTTAATATAAATAAATAGAATTTTAAATTTATTTTAAATTATTTAAATTTTATTTAGTTTTAACTAATTATTTAAGTTGGGCTTTAAGGTGGGTATTATGTTAGAGTTAACCCTAATTTGTTACCTATATAAACATAAGTGATGGGAGGAAACTTTATTAACATCAGAAAATCAAGAACAAGGTCATCAGAGGAAGAGGAAGGGGAGAAGAAAAGAAAAGAGACCGAAAGAGATCAACAAGAATCATCATCACCTTCCTTCGTTAAGTAGCATATAATTTTGTCAATAACAGAATTTATTGGTTTTCTTTTCTTTTATTTTTTTCTCTGTAATTTAATGTTAAATTTTATAATTTATAATTTAATTAACTTTTATACCTTATAATTAATTTATTTTTTAAATAACTAATAATTAAAAACATTTTTTAATAACTTCTAGATAGTAAGTATTCTTTTAAACAACTAATAATTACTTTAATTTTTAAATAATTAATAATTAAAAATATTTTTTAATAGCTTCTAATTAGTAAAATTTTTCATATCTTATAGTTAGTAATTTTTTTTTAACTTATAGTTAGTAATTCTTTTTTTTATAATTAATAGTTAGTAACATTTTTTATATAGTTAATTGTAATTAAAAAAAACATTTAGATTTCTAATTTAAATTAAACATTTTAATAAATTGTAATTAATTGTTTTTAAACAAAAATTCAAAAAAAAAAAAAATCTCCTAACAGTTCCTTTTAAGTGTTCACTTTAGAGTTCACTCAAATTCACCTAACAAAAATAACTTAACCAGATTCTCTGACATCAACTTTCGCCATACAACAGGTTTTTTTGTGTGAGTGAGAGAATCATTGTTCAAAAACTAAAGAAAAATAACAATGGCCATGATGATGAGCACGATGGTTGCACTTAATTTCACATCTGATGTGGAAAAAAATATGGCTCATGATCATGCACAAGTTGTTTATATAACAACACTCTTTGTCGCTGTTCTTTGCCTATGTTTGCTCATTGGTCACTTGCTTGAAGAAAGTCGATGGGTTAATGAATCGATTGTCGCCATTTTTGTTGTAAGATCCATACTCATTATGAAATCTAAAATTTCTATTTCTGTTAATATTGTTGTCTCATCATAATTCCTGTTGTTAATCATGAACGTGTTGGTGTTCGACGCTGACACATATGAGACACGAGACAATTCTTTGCGCAGAGGTCTCGGTGTTAATATACTCTTTGCCTCTAACATGTTCTCTTTGGTAGGGATGCATTGCTGGACTGGTCATATTGTTAATAACTAAGGGAAAAAGTTCTCGAATTCTTACCTTTAATGAAGAACTATTCTTCATATATCTCCTTCCTCCTATAATATCCAATGCAGGGTAAAACTTTCTCTCTTGTCTTAGACTTGAAGCATCTCTTGACATTCCAAAATTTGATGTTTTTGACTTATCTTTTCAAACAGATTTCAGGTGAAGAAGAAACAGTTCTTCCATAACTTTTTGACCATCATGCTGTTTGGAGTGGTCAGTGTTTTCATTTCAACATCTATCATTACCGGTGGTAATGACTAATGACTACTCTTTTAGTTTTTCTCTTTCGTTAAACTTGTAGCGTTATCATTACGATAATTTTCATGGGTTCACCTTACATTTGGTTCACGTAGGCAGCTGGTGGCTGTTTTCCAAGTTGAGTTTCTCTTACCTGACGGCGCGAGATTATCTTGGTAAGATTAATTGCATCATCTCAATATTATGCAAAAACACATAGTATTTTTAATCGGTTGGTATGTTTCAGGTGTAATCTTTAAGTTGGATAGTAGTATTCAAATATAAGTTTTAATCTTAAATCCTAAGCTTGAATTATATAATATTAGAATGGTACTGCACAGTCACTGTATAGTAGGAAAAGTCACAATTTGCCGAATTTTGTGATCAAATTTCATGTGTTTTTTGTTTGTGTTTTTCTTGTTTATTTTCTTTTGAATTAGAGTTGTTGTTATATAAATAAGGATTAAAAATGAATATATACATATTTGGGTAACAATTTTCTTATCTTAATTTGATTCAACTTTAGGAGTAATTTTCTCCTCAACCGACACAGTATGTACGCTACAGGTTGGTTAGATTTGTGAATAGCTTTATCCATTTAATTATATTTCCACATGATCTTAGTTTCAACACTGCATTTGGAGACTGTTGTAGGTTCTTAATCAAGAAGCTACTCCTTTGGAGTGGTAAATGATGCAACATCAGTTGTACTCTTCAATGCAGTCCAACAACTTGATGTTTCAAGACTTAACGGAAAGGCACTCCCTGTTATTGGTGATTTCTTGTATCTATTCGCAGCAAACACTGCGCTTGGAGTCATAGTGAGTACTGTTAAATGAGCAAGTACATGATTTTTCAAGTGTTATTAGCTGAATTTTTTACTTAGTCGATTGCATTATGCTCCTAGTTTTATCTCGGGAATTCATGTTAACTTCGATGAATTCTTTTTTATGCAGGCTGGACTTATCACTGCATATATCTTGAAAGCGTTATCCTTTGGAAAGTATGTACATTTTTCTCTATAAGCTCTCTAAAAATAATATTTAAAGATTGACAATCCCATTTCATATTCTTGAGTTATGAAGGTGAAAATTTGAGGACAAGTTAACAAGTTTTCCCCTGCATATGCATGCAGACATTCAAGTGTTCGTGAAATTTCAATGATGATGTTAATGGCATATCTATCCTACATGTTGGCAGAGGTATTGGATGCTCACTATTTTGTCTTTTATTGATTTCAAACCAGTTACAAGCCTAAAGAACTATGACCCAGTTTGAATAAACAACTTAGTTAAGCACTTAAAAAATAAGTGTTTATTAAATACTAGTAAGCTCTTATGTATAAGCTATTTCTACAACAAAAATAAGTTGTTTCATAAGTTCCATATAGGGTCTATTTAGATGGACTTATTTGAGCTTATGTAGTGACATAATTTTGTGAGATTGTTTCGGAGAATTTATGAAAACAATTTAACTTCATTTTATCTTTTATTGTAGAAATACCTTATGTAAACTTATATGTAAGTGTTTATCAAGATAACTGCTTTTTCTATAAGCTGCAAATAAGCTATTTATCAAATTTTTATACAAGTACTTATAATGGCAGAAAAATTCAAATAAGTTTGTCAAAACAGACAGTCATATAACTTAGAGATTTTTGCTTTTTATTAAGTTTAGATACTTTTTTTTTTCACCGTCCATCTAAACCGAAAATTCTTATACAGCTACTTGAACTAAGTGGAATCCTCACTGTTTTCTTTTGTGGAATATCAATGTCTCACTATGCATGGCATAATGTGACTGAAGCTTCAAGAACCACAACCAGGTATTTGGTTAGTCCATGGTAGAGTTTAGTAATCTCCCGACTCATGGTCTTGGTTTTTGATTTTGGTTTCTCTTCTCCAGGCATGTGTTTGCAACAATGTCGTTTATTGCAGAAACTTTCATATTTCTTTATGTGGGTATGGATGCCCTTGACATGGAAAAGTGGAGGATGACCCATTTAAGGTACTATACTTGTCTATGACTCTGTACAATTAAGTGTATCTTTGGTTCTGCGATGACTAAAACTGATTTTGAATAAAGTAAATTTGTAAAATAGATAATTGCGAGATTCATTGCAACATAAATATTTTCTTGTCAACTTCATTGCAGATTTGGAAATTTGTTGGGAATTTACGGTTGTTTAATCTTCTTAATATTGCTCGGGAGGGCTGCATTTATTTTCCCCCTCTCCACACTTGTCAATTATATGAATAGGCGCGTCGAAGAAACACCGAGTATCACATTACAACACCAGGTTACTATTCCTGTTTTATATGATAGTCTTGTAGTGTCACAGTTATCTATGAGAAAATAGTTTTTTAGATTGGTTTCTTGTGTTTTGTGAATGATGCAGATAATCATTTGGTGGGCTGGACTAATGAGTGTAGCATAATGAGTACCATCGAATTTTCATTTTTTTTTGTTTATGCAGTTCACGTTCTCTGGGGTTACTTCAGACCCGATTAAAGCGACAATGATTACTAACACAATTATTGTTGTCCTTTTCACCACACTGGTGAGTTTTTTTTTCTCCATCGATAGATTTGATAGATGAGGATTGTCTAAATTTATATATGCTGAATTTAGGCCATTATTTTATAAATCGGACTAGAAATCAGACCGTTATGGTCTCATTTTTAAAACAATGGTTTAAAGTGAGACATCAGTTTTTTCCTATATGCTCTTAATCTTAGTAGCAACCGATAACAAGTTAGAAAAGTTCATGATGGAGCTTCAAGCAAATTATCTTTTTATTTTTAGAATGTTTCAATATCACCAAAATGATGGCATTGCAGGTGTTTGGTTGTCTCACAAAACCACTTGTTAGATATCTTCTTCCCCACCATGTAAGAAGGATAGACACCAGACATGAAGAATCATCGGGGTCGCGGTCACCAGTTGGGGAGTTGGATCTACCTTTGCTATCCTTTCATGAGTCAACAGAAACCAACATTAGCCGCGCAAAGGAAAGCCTATCTATGTTAATAGAAAGTCCAGTGTACACCATACATTACTATTGGAGGATGTTCGATGATGCCTACATGAGACCTATATTTGGAGGACCTTGCTCTAACCCTAACCCTTCAGAGTTCTAGCAAAGCAATTCAACAAATCATATTGGATATCTAAGAGATGCACTTGAAAGTTGGAAAACAAATGATGATCCACTTTAATCCAGTTTTGAAGATTAAGTGGCTTCAACGCGCATTCAACGCCACTGTTTTGGAATTCTTGTTCTCTTCCACAAGACTTGTTTTACTCTTAAACTTTGTTGATGCCTTTTGGAAACTTCTGCTGTCTTTGACTTTTTACATAACACATGCCTTATCAGCTATTTTGAATGAATGTGAATATTTAGTTGCTGAACAAAAATCTTATCAGCTAGTTTTATGAATGTGAATATATTATCTTTTGGTATTCGGTTTTCTTCTGAGCCATTCTTACGTTTTTTTATTTTATTTTGATTACTTAACTAAAACATAAAGGAGTTCAGTAATTGTTAGGTTCGAATTCAATTTATATACCTTTAAGAACTAAAACATCAAGGAGCTCCGTAATTCTAAGTTTCGAATTCAATTTATATCAAGGAATCCCGCTATTTGTAGGCCAACGCTAGAATATTATTCTTAAGTTTCCTAATCTTGTTTTTTTTAAAAATTGGTAGGTATTTTTTAAATATGACATAAAAGACACTTTTTGGAGCGGAGAGGAAATTTTTTAATTAAATATGTATGGTTTAAATCTTAGGATGAGATGAGAGGGGAGCAAAACCCTTTCAAAATATTTTTTGGTTCCTTTTGAATTGGAAGAAGTTGGAGGGGAGGGGAGAGGAGGTAATATGAGGTTTGATATTTAAAAATTATTATAATTATTAAAATATTCTCAGTATAATTTTAGTATTCTAAAACTATTTGTTTTCTTTCGTGTTATTGCTTTTTTTCGATTGTTTTTATCAACTTAATATAATTGTTTTCCACCTTCAAATTATTTTATAATTTCTATACTTATTCGTTTTTTTTTTAAAATTTTGTTACGTATTCTATCATATTTTCTTTTATATTAAATTGTAAATATTTATTTTTGTTTATTTATTTTATTAAATATTTTGAACCATTAATATTTAATAATAAATTATTTTATATATTTATTTTGTTATATGATTATCACAATTTAAACGAAGTTATTGGCATATAGTTTAGTTTATGTCAAAAAATTATAAGTCGAATCAATTGTACTTAATTTTTTAATTTTATGTGACAAATAAATATTTTTTTAATCATTCAATATTAGAAATTTTATTACCAACAAAAATACGCATGAATTTTTCACATTTTAATATCATATGTTTTATATAAGATCATAAGGATAAAAATGTAAATTATTAATAAAACTCATCCCTTCCTCTTCTGAATCAAACACATTTTTAATTAAAATCTCTCCCTTCCCCTCCCCTCCTCTCTTTTGAACCAAACAGTTATCTGATTAAAAAAAATTTTCACCTCCCCTTCCCTTCATTAAAATTCCTCCAGTCTCCTCCCCCTCATTTGAACCAAACAGACCTTAAGTCAATAATTTTCTTTTTAAGCCTTCAATATAAAAAATTGAGAAAACACATAATGAAAGCTGAAAAAAATACTCGTCTTTTAGAAGTTGAAAATGAAATTTTCCTTCATTCAACATAAATATCATGATAAATTGATATTTTTTGTGAATATTTAAAATATGTTGTATGATTAAAAATATATATTCTTTATATAAATGTTTAATTTTAGTTATGTAATAACATATTTTGCTAATGATTTTATAAGTATTTTTTTATCCTATAAATTAATTTAAATGAAGAACAAAAAATATATGATTTAATTTCACTTTTGATATAAAAATGTTTTTATTAAAAATTGAGGTTAAAGTAAATGTTACAATGACAAATACACTTCTTAGTGATTACCTCACATCATTTTGCACATGTTAGGGAGGGAATGGTGTTCTCGTCATTGGAAAAAAAAATCACCGTTAAATTTAAAAACCATTAAAATATCACGGAGAAAAGTGTCATTAAATAATAAATATATGATGCAAATAGAAAATACATGTTTGATTGTTGTTGTAATTCATAGTTTTGTAGAAAATTAGCATTCGATTGTATTAAAGTAGTTAGTCAAAGTAGCCGGAGATGAAAAATACATTAGAGTGTAGATTCTAACGTGTTCAAGAAAATAATTGAAGAAGAAATGATTAAAGAAGCGCAAAACAAATTAAAGAACATGTACGACATAGATGAAAAATTAGAAAGGGTGAAGTTGTAGACATTAATAAAGCACGTGTGTTGTTTTAACAAACTAGATGAAGAAGGCGTGTGGTGAATCAATCAACAATTTGCAAAAGATTCATCAAGAAATCTTATGTTTAAAAGCATTTTTATCAAGAAATCTAAGAAAGAGAAGATGAACCAGAGAAAGAATGTTGCTAATAATGAGAAGTCAAAGAAAAATTCAAAGAATCATTCTGATTCGACCAAAAAAAGAATGGACAACAAATATTATGGAAAGAAAAGTGACATAAAAGATATACAATGTTAATATTATCAAGGATTTGGCCACTCTATTCGAGTCTCGAATAAAAGATAGCAGTAAAGTACAATATACACGTGTGGAAGATAATTTTAAAAATGATTTTAAAACTGAACAACTAAAAAGATATATATAATTATTATTTTGTAATTTATAGATTGTTTTGGATGAAAAACTAAATTGATAGCTCTATAATTTAAAAGACTATTTAAGATGATTTATACTTTGGTCAATTAAAAAAAAAGTGTGGATTTGAGATGAATTGTATAACACTAGAAGCAAAACAACTCTTCAAAAATGTAAACCTCCATTAATATAATTAACTTGCTCAAATTAATTTTTAAAATAAAAGAAGGTCAATTAATTTATTTTTTTTGTTTAAAACATATTTTAAAAACTCAAGTTTGTTGGACTAATTCAAATATCTCAATTTCAAATTTAAATATAACAAAAATGTGCTTAAATATTCATTTGACTAGTTTGTAACTTGTAAATGTAAGTTTATATTATCAAAACAGAATTATTTGATATATTTATTTTACGAATTTATAATATTTTTAAATATTATACTAAGTATGTTTGAGTTTTTAATTTATATTCTATGGTACATTATCACTTTAATCCTCGCTATTTATCCGACGCCCGCAACACCGCCGACGCGACGCCGCTGCCGGAATCCAAAAGTGCCGCCGTCTCCTTCTTCTTCATAGTATGATCTCTTCTTTCTATTTACCTTTTTCAACTTTTCTCCATTTGTCTTTATAAAAACCCTAAATTTATGAATGAATCCCAATATGTTTCTTTTTCCCCAATTAATCTTACTTTGAAATAGCTTATTGATCGGTTGAATTGAATTTCTAACCTGTACAATCTCAATTGAAAAACCTGAGATTTAAGTTTCTTACAATAATTAATGTTTTGCCACCGTTAATTTTTATGTTTTTACGATGCTTGATACTTTTTAAGGATTTGTTTGGATGTGAAATTGAACTGATTACTTTACAATGCAGCAGCAATCTTTGAAGTTTTTTATTTCAATAACTTAATTGGAAAGTGTGTGGTAGTCATGGTGGGAAAGAGGCCAAACATTTTGGTCACTGGTACACCAGGAACAGGAAAGACAACTACGGCAACTGCGCTGGCCGAAGCCACTCAACTCCGCCACATCAATATTGGAGAACTGGTCAAGGAGAAGAACTTGCATGATGGTTGGGATGACGAGCTTGATTCTTACATTCTTAATGAAGACTTGGTAAGCTACCGATTTGATTTACTTGAGATCGTTCTTTTATATTGATTTGTTTGGCGATGTTGGCGGTGCATTAGGTGTATAAGAGTTTAAGTTCAAATTGTTTGGTATTGGTGGTGCATTAGGTGTAAAGTGTTGTTAACTGCTTTAACTTTGCGGAATTTGAACAATCCGCTATTGTTCTGTGATACGCTAATTAGTATATAATGTTGTCAAACAACAACTAAAGTGGCGTTGGCGCCATTACACTCTCGCGCAACGGAATTTTAACAATCCGCTATTTTTTGCTATTCATGATTGACAACATTGATGAGATATGTTTCATGGTTTTTGTAGGTATGTGATGAACTCGAGGATGTTATGGAAAACGGAGGGAACATTGTGGACTATCATGGCTGTGATTTTTTTCCTGAGCGATGGTTTGATTATGTGGTTGTACTTCAGACTGATAACACCATTTTGTATGACCGTTTAACCAGAAGGTATGGGAGCACATGTTGCCGTTGTCGAATGTTGGTCTTGTGATTCTGTGGTATGTTTCAGCCTTTCAGAGCATTAATTTACTTTCTTCATCTCTGTGACAGAGGGTACAAAGAATCAAAGCTTTCCAACAATGTCGAATCTGAAATCTTTCAAGTTTTACTTGAGGAGGCTAAAGAAAGTTACGCGGAGGACAAAGTTATTGCATTGAAAAGCAACACTATTGAAGACATTGATAGTAATGTTGCAACTCTGACAGATTGGGTTAGAAACTGGTCTATATAGAGTATGATGAAAAGTATTAACGCAGGGTTTCACATGTTTGATTCTGCAATATTTTAGACATCTCAAAAGTGCATTCAGATTTTATCTGGTTTATCATTAATGAAGTGAATTGTGGTGGATTAGGAAGGTTTAAACATACTGGTATCGAATATGGCATGAAAGATATCTTTTCCTAACCTCTAAGAGACTCTTAGAATTGATAAAAATGCCCTCTAGATTCTGGAATCCGGAGCTTCAAAAACACACTCTGGATTCTAGAATCCGAACAACTCCTATAACACAGCTCTCCTCTTTCCCTCACTTTCTTTTCTCTCTTAAGTTTACAATTTTTGGATTCTACAATCCGAACCACTCGGTTTAAATTTGGATTCTCTATAATTCAAACGGGCAAAAAAACCTTTTATTAACATTAGCCGTGAGTAAATGCGGCCTTAGTGACATTTAGTAACCGTGAAGGAACCTTGTCAAATTTATTATAAAGGCCATGTAAATGTTGGACCATGATCCACTGCAATTAAAAATTGGTGCAGTCACTGCAGTAAATGGTTCTCCAACTATTGAATCTGCTATCCATCCATTCTTCACCATAAGATAGTTTTGGTGATAGTTTTGTGTTGTCCTAAAAGATGTTTAAAAAGCACTTCTAGAGAGAGATCTTAAGTTGGAGTATAAACTCATAAACTCATTATGCATTGAAAAGCAACACTATTGAAGATATTGATAGTAATGTTGCAACTCCGACAGATTGGGTCAGAAACTGGTCTCTGTAGTGTATGATGAAAAGTATTAATGTGATGGGTTTCACATGTTTGAATATGCTTTCCATCTATTCTTCTCCATAAGATAGTTTTGTGTTGTCATTCAAGAAGCACTTGTAGAGAGAGATCTTAAGAGGTGACTGATAGAATAAGGTTACTGCTGGTAACCTATTTATGCAAATACTGACTTGTTAAACAAGTAGAAAGAAGAAAGTAGAATCCGAATTTAAACAAGATGTTTTGAGTTGTAGAATCTGACAATTGTCGACTTAAAGAAAAAATTGTGTTATTGAAGTTGTTCAAATTCTAAAATCTGAAATATGTATTTTAGTGCCCAAGTTCTAAAAAATTTAAAAGACATTTTTGTCATTTCTAATTTTTTTTGAGATTATAGAGTAAGAAAATAAATCTCCAAAGTGAGCCAATTTTAAGAGAGATAACAGCACCTTCATTTCATACAAGGTAAACTTGTTTCATTTCGTACAGGGAAGACTTGTTTGTAGATAAGATATTAATTTCAGATATGGGAAATTTTTTTTTAAATTAACCACTATTTTCAACAAAAATACTAAATAAAATAAAATTTTCAAATAATTTTTAAATTGGCCATATTTTTACGTGCAGTCGCCAAATGATTTGGCTGAATCGTTTGACCCAACATGAAATTGCCAACCCATTTGGCGAATCTGGCCAAAAAATAAATTTTTTTCAACAGATTCGCCAGCTCATTTGGTGAGTCAACAGTATTTGTTTTTTTTTTGTTTGTTTGTTTGTAATTTTGTTTTGGTTTATAGTTTTAGTTTTATAAAATAATAAAAATTAGTTTAAAATAAATTATATTGGTTTAAAACATAATAAATAAAATAATAAATATAAAATAATAAAAATGATATATTTGTTTAATTTTTAAAACATAATAAAATAATAAAAATGATATATTTGTTTAATTTTTAAAACATAATAAATATATAATTAGTATATAATTTTAAAACATAATAAATATAAATAGATTTAAATTTTAAAACATAATAAATATATAATTAACATATAATTTTAATACATAATAAATATGTTAAATATATAAATAGATTTAAATTTTAATACATAATTAACATGTTAAATATATAACTACTATATAAGTTAAAACATAATAAATATATAATTGTAGGTCACCTTTGAATTTTGATATTTTTAAATCCTACGTTGTTAAATTTTGGTATTTGTTGGAAAAAAGTATATAAATTTTGTAAGGGTATTTAAGGCATATCATATGGCGTCCGTACTATTTTATTTTTCTATAAATATGACTGCACATGCATATACTTTTTCACAACAATTTATACCAAAAGACTAAGGTCTTAATAATTTTGAGTGGAGTATAGAATGTATGCATTTCTAAATCAACGTTCTTTGTCGTCGTCGTCATCATCGAAAAAACCGCTTTCAACATTTCCTCTAATGAAAAGAAATGTCCTAGTTTATTTTTCAGCAACAAAACCTCAGATGAAGGTTCTCCTGTGGAATATGCAGAAGTTTGAGCATTTGCATAGGAAACTGAACCGCTGGCTAGAGGGAGATATTGCTGCAGGTGAGAAGATTAGGAAAATTGAGAGGTTGGTCGATGAGGCAGGGAGAAACGGAGTTACTCGTGAATGGAGAAAAGTGGAAAATGATGCTGGTGTCCTTGTGATGATGTTAACACCAAAGAAGATAACGTTGATGGTTGTGATATCGTAGACACCTTGATGCTTTGTTCTGTTTTATGTCGTTTTGTTGTTATTTTCGGAATGTTGTTGTGATATTAAGTTATGTTTGTTTAATTTATGTTGTTTGCTAATTGTAATCGGTTAAGTATGCTTTAAATGGAATGAAATTTGCTATTGATTTAAAGGGACACAGTTACATATGACACTATGATCTTGTACTTGATCCTACGTTAGGACATTTTGTACGATTGTGTCCTAGTTGCCGACACGAACTACATAATCTTACCATCTTGTTTGCGGTATCCGTCTCCATTCGAATGCGCTTGCTGTAACACCCTCCAAAATAAACAATTAAATCATTTAGGCACTTAATAAAATTCTATCAGAGTATAATTATAACATGGTATAAAAGAGGCGCATCACATTATCATCGAAACGAAACATAAATAATACCTGCTCATAAAGATATGTAACAAAAGGGGTAAATCTCAACTAAAAACAAAGCATAGCGCTTAAAACCCACGTATCAACATTTAGAATAAAGCGGAAACATATAAACATTGGAATAACTTCATTGACATAAGCGTCATATACATCATTCAGATTAATTCAATTCATCGGTTAAGTTTACAAAACATTCAGCAGCAGATACATAGACAGATGTATCACAAAAGAATCAAAACAATTCCTAACTACCTAGTGTTACATATCAGAGCCATCTGACCAAAAGAAATGAAGACTCGCTTCACAAAAGACCTCCAGCATCCTACTCTGCAATGCCTCATAAAGCATTATGAAACAGCAGAAGGGTGAGAAACATTATCATAACAAACAATGCATAAAATTATATATATCATAAATTTTCTTCGAGTTTGGCGTTGGGAACTTAGAGAAATCCCTACACTTGTCGGGGTTTGCCTCGATTCCCCGCTCCGTCAAATGGAAGCCGAGGAATTTGCTTGCTCGGACACCGAAGGTGCATTTTCCCGGGTTGAATCTCATTCTGCATCTCCTCGTCGTTTCGAAGACTTTTTTGAGATGAGCAGTGTGGTCGGTCTCTTCTTGTGATTTTACTATCATGTCTTCCATGTAGACCTCGAGCATGTCCCCGATTTCGTCTCGAAAGACTTTGTTCATCATCCGTTGGTAAGTCGCGTCGGCGTTTTTCAAGCTAAAGAGCATTACATTGTAGTAGTAATTGTCCGACTCGGTCATGAAAGTCGTGTATCGCTTGTTGGCCTTCACCATGGGGATTTGATTGTATCTCAATACGCATCCATGAACGACAGTAATTTAAAACCTGCAGAATTATCAACCAGATTGTCGATGTTAGGAAATGGATATGTATCTTTTAGGGCATGCCCTGTTATGATCAGTATAGTCACATTCTCCATTTTCCATTAGATTTTTTTAACTAATACAACGTTACACAGCCAGGTTGTGTACTGGGCTTCAGAAATAAAATTTGTCTCTAGTAGGTCTTTTACAACTTTTTTAGCAGCCTCCGCTTTCTCGGGAGACTGCCTACGCCTACTTTGTACTATGACCATAGAGGCCAGATCTATGGTGAACTGGTGGCAAGCCACGTTGGGGTCAAGCTCAGGTATCTCTGCAACGCTCCACGCGAATAGGCCATCATTCTCTCGGAGGCAGGCTTTCAACTGCTTCCTCGCCAACTCGGAGAGCCTTGTGCCGATCTTCAAGCTCCTGTCAGGGTCATCGCCGAGAGTGATGAGCTCGAAGTATCCATCTAGAACGAGGCGCACAGGATGGAAAAGCTGCTTGTTGCCACCATTTGCTGGAGGTGCGTCGAATACTGCTTCGTTCTGCTCCTGCTTGTTGGGGAACCGACTGTCAAAATCGACTGAGTTAATGCGCGACAATGGTTTCTGCTCCTCGGTGTAGACTAACTTACTGTCAGTCTTGGGCGTGATGTTGATTAAGTTCAGCCCCTTGGTGGCCGCCTCAAAACATCTTCTGACAACTTTAATATCCCCGTGGAGGGTGACGACGCGACCCCTGGCCGTGTAATACTTTATCTTTAGGTGGATTATGGATGATACTGCCGTTAGCTCGACCAGAGTTGGCCTTCCCAGAATACATTGGTATAGAGAGAAACACTTTATCACCAAGAAATAAACCTTAACTTGTCTGGCAGTCTCCTCGGACCTGAACGTGACAAGCAGCTCAACATAGCCCCATGGCCTCGTGGTGGTGCCAGTGAAGCCCTGCAAGTTGGAGCCGACATACGGAGTCAGATGGCTCTTGTCGAGCTAGAGAATGGTGAACAAGTGAGTATACATTATGTCAACTGAACTCCCCTGGTCGATGAGGATGTGGAGGATGTCAAGGTTCGCCATCTGGGCTCTGATTAGTAGAGGGATGCTAGAATTAGGGGCGCCACCCGATAACTCATCGAGGTAGAAGGTGATCAGGTTTGAGTTTCCCTTGAACATGTCGAGGGTGGTGTTATGCTTCAAGCTTTTATCGATTAGCTCGTCAAACTTCCTCTTAACCGACCCCACTGAGAGTTTGTTGAACTCTCCGCTGGATATGATCATCACGGTGGGGAAGCTCTCCCTTGGGCTACGAGCGGACAAAGGTGTGTCGGCCTCGTCGAGAAGGTAGAAGTCCTCTGGTCGGGAGACGCACAGAGCGACTTGCAGCCCAGTGTCGTCGGAGGGTGGAGTCACCTCCTCGACCCTATCTGCCTTGTGAGCTTCCTGTCAAGGAGCTTCGTTCCTCCTAGTATACTGCTTTAGATGTCCTTTCTTGATCAGAATTTCAATCGCATCCTTGAGATAAATGCAATCTTTCGTGCGTGCCCATGGCTCCTGTGGAACCGACAGTACTTAGATTTGTCGATGTTGGGCTTAGGGGGGTGTCGACTTTGGAAAGAGGACCCCGCCCCTTTGAAATTCTGAGTTGAGGCACTCGGTTAGAATGCGCTCGCGGGGAGTGGTGAGTAGCGTGTACTAAGTGAAATGGCTTGCTGGCCCCCTATGTTCTCAGGTGTCGTGGGGCCTATCTTCTCTCCTTTTCTCTCTGCCATGTCGGAAAGCTACGAAGTCTTTGAGCTGGGAGGTTTTGGCACTCTACTAGTTCCGGGAGTTGCGGGCGCTGTTGGCGACCTTATTCTCCTCGTATTGGATGTAGACCTAAGCCTTGTGGAGGAGCCCGTCTAGCATCCTGGGCCTCTCGATACCCACTGCCTTGGAGAAGTCGCTGCGGGGTTGCAACTCTCGCTCAATCAGGTATCTCTTCATACCATTTATAATGGATACCTAGACAACCTCTCGATTGAATATCTCTATTTAGTCCCAGAGAGATTTGTACTTCCCCTGAATAATAACCTCCATGGAGGGCTCCGTCTTCAGATGTCTCAGGGAAGCGGTGAAGTGCCTGGAGAACTGTCTCTTTAGCTCTTTCCAGGAGGTGATAAATTCAGGGTCGAGGATCTTATACCACATCATCGCGCCCTTCCTTAGGGTCGTGGGGAAGAGTATGTATTTTATAGCCCCTCAGACATTGTGGTAATCGAGCATCCAGATCGACTCTTTGGTTTTTCCACTTGTCTGTCTGCTTTGTTTCTTTTGGGTACTGGGGAGCGTCGCTCTTTCTATGGAGGACTGGGGTGACGCTTCTGGGTTGCCACGGGTTGAGATCTTTACAGTCACAGACGATGTCCAGGTTTCCGGGGTGAGGGGCTGTGAGATTCGTCTGGTTGATGTCTCCACGTGGGAGAGAGGGGGCGCATTTCTCGTCGTCTCGGGGACGGGATACGAGAAACTGAGCGCCTATGTCTCAGCGGGGAGAGCACGATTGTCGTTCCTTTTCCAGCATCCCGATTTGTTTGTTCTGTTGGAACCTCATCAGGTTCGTCTGGTTGATCCCCGCAAATAAGGCCACCATGGTCGGGTCGGTGTTGGGTGACACATGAATGGGTTGGAAAACAGATGGACTGACGAATCATTGGATGGTGTTTTTGGCCGCATTATCGAGGGAGGGAGAGAGGTGCGCTCGTCCCTAGGGTCACCCTCCTCGACGGAGATAGCCACGTCGGAATCATGGTCGTCATCGTTGGTGAAGGTGGTGAAAGTAGATTCATGGACATTATCGACAATGCGTGGGCTGACCATGATCGATGGAAGTTGAGATATGCTTTGGTTCTTTGATTTCTGAGGAAAAAAGAATGGGGAAGCAAGAGTTTCCCATAGACGGCGTCACTGATCTTACCAGAGAAGAGGAGGGGGCGTACCTGCAAGGTACTCCGATGCTAAAGTAAGTTTTAGCGAGAGAGAGAGAGAGAGAGAGAGAGAGAGAGAGAGAGAAAGCAAGTACAGAAAAAGTGTAGAAAGTTAGAATACTCGACCCTCTTATGGAAGAGGGTATTTATAATGTGTCCCAACACTGGGCCAAGGGTTATCTGCACTAAGTTGGATCATTAGGCCCAACATGGATAACTGCCAGGATCTACGTGGCGTAGGAAAGATCAGCACGTGGTTTTCATCCTGATTCAACTGCCTCGTGAATTTCGGAAGTTGGAGGACCTGTTCTCTCAGACGCGGGTAGTTGGCTGATGACGTGTCCCCGCATGGGGAGCACGTGGAGACTATGGGGAAGATGTGTGAGCGCTCCCCGTGTGAGTTGATGAATTGGGATTTCATTGAACCCTCTCTGATGAGGAGTTGGGTTGGGCCGCACCCGACGGTGGGACAACCTCTGGTTCAGGCCAGAACACCTAGGATGATGCAAGAGGATATGGATATGTTAAAGCCGCAATTATAGAATGAAGAGATAAAAGAGGTCATGTTGAATATGGGAGCCTCGAAGGCACTAGGTCCAGATGGGTTGCCAACAAGTTAAGTTTTTATCAAAGTGACTGGGAAGTAGCATGGGAGAATGTATACAAGTATGCAAAAAATGTATGTATGGATCCTGATGATATTGGAGAAGTTAACACAACATACATTTGTTTCATATCGAAGGTCAATAAACCTTAATTCGTCAACCAATTCAGGCATATCTCTTTACGTAATATTACTTATAAGCTGCTGACCAAAATAGAGGTGCATAAGTTGAAGGTTGTTATAGACAACATTGGTTCTCCGTACCAAACTAGCTTCATATCAGGGAGGAATATATCGGAGAACATAGTTATAGCGTAGAAAATGCTTCACACCATGGCAAGAATGAGAAACAAGGTGGGATTGTATGCGATCAAAGTTGATCTTGCTAAGGCGTATGATATAAGGAGGTGTAGTTTTAAAAAGTGAAGCAACATGCACCCCATGTACGAGTGGACCTTCAAGTCCCACATTTCGAGCAACAGTGGAATCAGCATGCAAATGATTAGAATCATGACTTACGTTGGAGTAGTAAATGACATCTTCCTGAGTAAAAACCCTTGCTTTTTTCAAAAGATGACCAGGTTTAAGTACGAGGGGAGTTGCAGATGAAAAACGCCTTAGACTTAGATACTGAAGTTTTCTACTAGAATGCAAACTCCTGAAGAGCATTCTTGCAAAGGCTCAACTACTCAAAACAATGCCCTGATAACAATTGACTTGCATGATATTAAAATACGAGCGGTGCTATATGGCACCACAGGGTCCACAGTCCACACACGAATCACACTACCACGAGTTACTTGCTTATAAACAAAAACGCTTAAAAAACTCATTCGTACAATTTCAACGAGTATTTCATCATATAGTTTAGCAGTTTCCTTAAAAAACAAGTAACTAACTTTTAACAGTTATAAACTTTTCAGGGTTAGGTTAATGTATGTGAAGAATATTGACAGCAGAAGAAGGATTGATAATCTGTTTGGAATAGTGTTTATGCCATTGTTATAAAATCAAATTCCAATGCACATATAACGTGGAAATTAGGAAGATAGAAAATGAAGCTTTTAAAATCAAAATAAGTCTTGTGGAAGATCTAGTTTGGATCATAACTTTGGTAAAATCAAACAAAAAACATTGAACTATGAACATTTTGTTTTAACATTGGAAGTTGTGGAACAGGTGAAGCGTTTACTCCATCGAGAATGGAAGCAAACATAGGAGAAATTTAGGCGGCTCACGAAGTTTAGACTTAACGTGCTCAAACATTTTCTCAACACTTAAGACAGGCGATGAACGCTTAAACTGACATTGCTCTTTAAAGACGTCGAAAGGATGTTCAACTTGCTGTCAATAGCAAACAAGAGCTTCACATTGTTAAAAAATAATCGGTTGAACGAAACAAAATCAAATCAAGTAAGCGTTAAACAACAAAAACAGAGCAATCAAACAAAATAATAACACATGCAGAGTTCATGAAAAATAAAAGCTAAAGAAAAACTAAATTAAGGTAAACACGTTATAGAAAATCCTAAGAAATCAACCACAACAAAACTGAAAACAATGAAGAATCATCGTACAAACAAAAATTACTTAAATGAAGAGAGAGAAAAAAATATCATAGATTAAGATCATAGTAAAGAGAATGATAAAGAGAACGATAAAAACTACTTAAGTGAGAGAAATCAGATTACCTTAAAAATGAGAAAAAAATATTTAAATTTTTAGCCATAAAGTTGTGTTTGAATTGATGGAATTTGATGTTTTAGGGCAGAATAGAATCAATTGATGTTTATAAAGAGAACTAGAATGGAGTCATATGAATTGTATATGAATTGTATTATATTTCATCGGTTACACTATTTTATGGCTATTGTTGTTATTCAAATTCATTCATATGGTTTCATGTTATAGCTACTTTGCAAACTACATTAAAACATGTATATGGTTTAACTTTTATTTCAAGTACCAAACATTTATTGGAATTTTCTAATTATAAAAAGTTTGAATGAATTCTATCAAAATTTTCTCCAATCATCACTCTGATAAAGAGTCTACAACTATTAAATTAAGATCTAGGGTTACCAAATAAGAAAATAACAATTGGAGAAGGAAGTGATAAAGATAATAATTTCATTCATAATCCTCCCTCTAACAAAGTAATCCTTTAAATACATAAGATAAAGTCTGGATATTTTCTAATAGACTAATGGGCCCAACCCATACAAATTAAAACACATTTAATTAATTGTAGAAATCTTTCATCCATTTGGGCTGAGTCCTTTTTCGAGTGGGCCTGCTATCACTACTTTCCGGCCCACTTACAACCTTGTCCTCAAGGTTGGTATTGAGATAGTTAGGCAAAGAGGTTTTGAAGGCTGCAGTCCAAGTGTTAGGCCCAACAGATTGGGATCCAATAACAGAAGTTGGAGAGATGTAAGTGGGAGGCAGCTCATGCCCACGTGTTGGAGAGGAATCGATCGCCTGGACAGATGTCTTGCTGCATGCAAGGGTAAGTGGGGCAGGTGCGTTGCGTGGCTCAATGCATGCTAGTGGCGCTTTGATCACCGTGTCTTGCTTTTGGGAAGTGTGGAAATCAGACAAGTCATTAGTGTCTTTGGGAAATGGTTTCAAAACTTCATTCACTTCAACTTCAGAATTTTCTCGTTCCTTATTTGGCTCACCATTTCTTTCTTTACTTTGTGTAGCATTCTGCAAAATTTCTGGTTTTCCGGCTTGATCCGTAGCCTCTTCTGCATTGTGTTTGGCTGTTGTCTCAGCGCTTCTGGTTTCATTACCCGCTGGTTTTTCTGCATGTAACTGATCTGGCTTCGCGTTTGGTTTAGTGGTTCCCATTAAGTCGTCAAAAGTGGTTGTATGCGGTGGATCTTCATCAACTGAGGTTGCTTCTTCAGCGGGGAGAGGATGGAACTGCACTTCCGGATCTGTACCATGGAATGGACGCAGTTGTGAGACATGGAAGACGGGGTGGATTCGAGATGCGTCCGGAAGATCCAGATGATAAGCTACACTTCCAATCCGGCAAAGAACTTTGAAGGGTCCAAAGAAACGTTTGGCAAGTTTATTGGAAGTACGTTTCTGGACGGAGCTCTGACGGTATGGCTGAAGGCGAAGCAAAACCAACTCTCCTTCTTCAAAGGTTACGTTTTGACGTTTTGTGTTGCTTTGAGTCTCCATATAAGATTGACTTCGCTCCAGGTTGCGTTTTAATATGTTAATAATTTCCTCTCTGTTTTGCAGGGACGAATCCACCATGACCAAAGATGAGGAGCCAGGTTCGTAATGGGGGAAAGAAGGAGGGGGCCGACCATATAGGGCTTCGAACGGTGACATGTTGATGGAACTATGAAACGCGGTGTTATGCCAGAGTTCTGCTAAGTGTAAGTATTGAAACCATTTCTTTGGTTGTTCACTAGTGAAACATCGTAGATAAGTTTCCAAACATCGATTAACTACTTCTGTTTGTCCGTCCGTTTCAGGGTGGTAGGCGGTGTTGTACTTCAAGGTGGTGCCTTGTGCCTTAAACAATACCTTCCAAAAGGTGTTGAGGAAAATGGGGTCACGATCAGAAATAATGGTGCCTGGTATTCCATGAAGCCTACAGATCTCGACCGAAAATCGTAGAGCCAAATCTTTTGCAGTGAACTTGGTGGGGAGGCCGATGAAATGGCAGAACTTGCTGAGACGGTCACAAATTACCCAGATGACTGTATGGACAAAGGAAACAGGTAAGTGAGTAATGAAGTCCATTGTTAGATCTTCCCATACTTGGTGTGGTATTGGTAGAGGTTGAAGCAGTCCTTGTTTCTTCTTGGTACTGTATTTATTAGTTTGACAGATTGAGCAAGTTCTAACGAACTCTTTTGTGTCTCTGTAGATGCCCGACCATAGGAAGGCGCTAGAGACTCTGGCAAGGGTTGGTTGGAGTCCTGAGTGGCCAGCAACCGGTGTTGAATGATATTCTTTCAGGATGCTTTGCCGCAGATTTTCAATGGGAGGTATAAAGATCTTGTCTTTGTAGTACAATAAATCATCCTTGAGGTAAAAAAAAAACTTGATGGTCATTTTCAGCTAATAGTTTCTTGATAAGGTTTTGGCCGTCTGGTTTGGTTTTGTAGTACTGCTTGAGGTGGGAAATTAGCTGAAGTATTGGGGATGAAATAGAGAGCAGCATAGCATTTTCTTATGTTGGAATTCGGCTCAAGGCGTCTGCAACTTGATTACACTTTCCAGGTTTGTAAAATATCTCGAAATGGAACCCTTGTAATTTTGCAGCCCACTTTTGTCGTTCTGGAGTCTGGATTGTATGTACTAACAAATTTTTCAAACTCTTCTGATCAGTGTAGATATGGAAATCTATCAAGTACTGGCGCCACTTTTTAACTGCCTCAGTGATTGCATACATTTCTCGAACATAGACGGAGGAAGCTTGGAGGCGAGTGCATAACTTCTTGCTGAAGAAAGCTAATGGGTGGCCTTGCTGAGAGAGAACAACTCCGATTGCAACTGCGGAGGCATCTGTTTCCAAGACGAAGATTTGTGAAAAGTCCGGAAGGCATAACACAGACATTTTTGTCATTTGCTGTTTTAATGTTGTAAAAGCGAACTCTGCTGCTGTATTCCATACTAATTTAGTGGACCATAATAAATCGGTGAGAGGAGCGGCGAGAGAGGCGTAATGACGAACAAAACGTCTATAAAAGCCGGTGAGGCCCAAGAAACCCCTTAGAGTCGTGAGTGATCGTGGCCTTGGCCAATCAAGGATAGCTTGAATTTTAGTTGGATTCGGGGTGACGCCGTCGCTTGAAATAATGTGACCTAAATAATCAACACTTGGGACAGCAAAAAGACACTTGGAGAGCTTTGCATAAAATTGGTTAGACAATAATGATTCTAAGATTAATTTTAAATGAATAGCATGATCAGCTAGGCTGGAACTATAAATTAAAATATCATCAAAGAAGACTAAAACAAACCGACGTAGATACGGGCGAAGCAAATCATTCATAGCGGATTGAAATGAACTAGGGGTGTTTGTTAAGCCAAAAGGCATAACCAAAAACTCGTAATGACCATCGAATGTCCTGAAAGCTGTTTTGTGTGTGTCACTTGGTGTAACCCTTATTTGGTGGTAACCTGAGCGTAAATCGATCTTAGAAAAAATAGTTGCAGAACCCAATTCATCAAAAAGTTCATCAATTGTTGGGATTGGAAAACGGTCCCTAACTGTCACGGCATTTAAAGCTCGATAGTCAACACAAAATCTCCAAGATCCATCTTTTTTTCGTACTAGCAAAACAGGGGAGGAGTAGGGGCTGTTACTGGGTTTAATGATCCCTTCATGTAACATGTCTTGAATGATGGAGGTCATGGTGTCCTTTTGAGAATGAGGGTACTGGTAGGGTTTCACGTTGACAGGAGAGCTGTGAGGAAGAAGTGGAATGTGATGGTCATGAGGCCTTGGTGGGGGAAGGCCTTGTGGTTGTTTGAAAACAGCTGCGAATGAGTGGATGATGTTTGTGATTTGTTTGGGGAGTGAAGTAGGGAGTTGCGCCAGGGTTTGGGGTACATTTTCAGAGTTGGGGGCAATTGTTTCTAGAGGTGGTTGATATATGAGGAGGTGTATGGAAGCGATGGAGTCTGTTTGAAGT